ATTCTCAATATATGAAATTAACAAATATCAAGACAACATCCAACTCTTTGTATTAACATCTGTTGTGTAACTTATTTCTTTAAGGTGAAAACGCTTGAAAACAACAAGACTATTTTGTCTTATTGCACAAATTAAAATCCAGTTCGATGTATTTCTATTGATGTCATTTCCCGCTAGAAAAATTGTGTGATGGAGGTCCATGGAAGCCAAATAAGTTTAAATCAAATAAGCAAAAGAGGATTGAGTTAAAATAAATAAAAGGTATTCAAGGTACGTTTTGAGCATCCAAAACGCGTCCAACACTTCAAGTTGGCTGCTTGTGCACCTCTGTTGTTTTCCTCTGCTGGTCTCTGTTTAATGGTGAATGAAATAAAGAAAGTGGCGGTACTTTATTTACTTTGAGCAAGCAAATGTCATGTTCACAAGATAATTAATCCACCAGATAATTTAGAGGCGGTCTGTTTGGCGAGTTTTACTCCAGGAGCTGCGATGCTTTCAAGCTACGTTCAGACCGAGCTCTGCTGCCTCTGTTAACTGACTTAAACAGCGGCTGCTGACGTCATTACGCTTTTGCGTGATGCTGCGTTCAGGACAAACATGGAAAACTCACCACTCTTACGCCAAACCGGTTGCAGTGATGCGTTTAGGTACCGAAACATGGTACCGTTTGATGTTACGTGAATAGATACTCGGTAGTACCGACAGAATTCGGTCTGTGCATAAAAAAGTATCGAATTCGGTACCCATCCCTAATCCCAGTGGATTACAATGTTTGCTGATGACATTGTAATGTGTGATGAGAAGAGGTGGAACTTAGAGAGATGGAAGTACAGAGTTGAAAATAGAAATTAAGATTCTTGTTTTTTTTCCTACAAAATTCTCCTGGGTCCCTCTCCTGACACACCACCTGGCTTTTGCTAGTAATCAGCACACCTGTTTCCAATCACCATCACCAAGCTCAGTTAGCTCCGCGCTACTCGGTTTTCTTCAGTCCAGTCGTCCTGGTAGTTCCTCGTTGTTCCTCTTTTAAGGTATATTTCACCGCAATTATGTGACATAATTCCTAGCATTTGAGCTAAAAACAGAACATTCTGTTGGATGAATTGAGCACAGAAGCTTTGCTAAATCGCTAAAAAAGCCTATGTTACCTTTGTTAGCGGCTTAAAAGGCAACATGTTTAAACTAACAGTTTTTAATGGACTATTTAGCTGAATAAAACACTTTCTATATAAATTTACAGTAGCTGTTTAGCTAAAGCTAAAGTTGCTAAAACATCTTCATTAGTGTTATTAAATGTCCTCGTTAGCTCTTGACACACCACCTGGCGTCCATTAGTAATCAGCCCACCTGTTTCCTCTCACCATCACCAATAACCTTGCCGTACTACTCGGTTTTCTTCAATCATTTGTCAGAGATCCTCCATTAGCTCCTTGCTGTTCCTGCTAACGTATCAAGTCTTGTTAATCAGCCCAAGATTTCTGCTTTTGGGTCTAATTCACCAAAATTACAGAGTTTCTAGCATTTGAGATAAAACTATCGGTTTTGTTGGGTAACGCGAGACCAGTTGGAACCATTTCTAAATTGCTGTATATATTTGGCTAAATCTAAAGCTAAAGTTGCTAAAATGCCTCCATCGGTGCCATTAAATGGTTGGTTGCTTGGTTCCAGCTCCTTACACCACCTGGCTTCCATTAGTAATCAGCACATTTACCATTACCACTTGCAATATACTGTATGTTACCRGTATCTACTGCATACTCTTTGTACTGATTTACAATCAGCCCTTCAGATTCCTACTTTATACAAGATGGTAGCTTTTTTATTTTTTAAGAAGTATGCTTATAAAATTAAGTTGGCTGCAATGTCAAGAAAACAGTGTTGGCACTCTTTGTGAGGGACAAACACTGATTGGTGCAGCCTTACAATGTTGTTTATGTTGTCTGTACTCTACCGATATGARCCACCTTTATCTTACATTCTGCAACAAAGTTAGTCCCTATAAATCTAAAACAAGTCACTTGCAACAAATTGAGTTCCACATGAAATCTGATTTTATGTAACGTTAATGTGAGTTTATGTGTGTTTAGATCCGTTGGCTCCCGCCTGCAGATGGAACTCCTCAGGGATGGAAGTCCAGGCAGTTCTGCTGAAATATGTGTGAGTAACCATATTTATGTATGCATACACACAAATTCAGAGAGCTCCCCCCCCCCCCCATCTCTGTAACCCTTCGAGCTGAAGTGGTGTACATGGTTTTGTGGCGAGAAACTACTGTAGTAAATGTTATGACACTTTGCATAAACAGGCACAGACATATTCCTAAACATTTTCTGGGATTATTGCAGCAGCTTGGTCTTTTTCGCCCTCAGACCTCACATGAAAGAAAAAAAACTTGTATCCGGTTAACTCCAAAACTAACCACTTAATTAGTCTCATATCTGCTGGTTGACTTCAC